TAATTTTATTTTTATACCAGTTCAGTCAATCAGATACAACCACAAACATGTATGTGAAAACTGAAAGTAGACCTCCTTATATATGCTCTTATGGATTCTGAACTTGAACAGGAAACCGATACAAAAAAAAAAACTGGCTGTTCGACAAAAATGTTGTGTTTTCTCTCATGATTTCACCTAAAATGTTGCTCAAGTTGGAATTTTGTTTTGCTACATTGACAGGTTCAAAGCGATATAAAGCGAAAAAAGTATAAAATAACACAAGTAATACATTTATATAATAAAAACTATCTCATATATTTCCAAACTTCTGTTGTGCCATCTCCAAATCATCTTGTCAAATGTTCAAAAACAGTGTCAAATAATGATTGTCTTTATTTATCGAACAGGTCAGTGTCTTTATGCGGGGAGAAAGAAAGAAAGATGCTGAAAGAGATTGTAAAGAGAGCTAGAAACCCTGTAAAAAGTCGTGTTGTGCCTCCAGGTAAGTGTAAAGTTGTGTTGTGCCCCCCCTTTATTTTTGTTACCTGATTTGCATTTTATTGTGCAATTTTCCAACTTGATACATAGGTGCTCTGGGGTAATCTACAGACCTTGTTGTACATTTCTGTTTTCTTTTAGTATTATCAATTTCAATTTTGAGGATCATTGTTTTCACATTGTGCATTTAAAAAAACAAAGCTGTATTACTCAACAGGCTTCGTGTTGAATACACTAAATTTATATTAATTTTAAATATTTTCCCTTAGTACACAGGAGTTCTTTCTCTGCTTTTTTTGGTTCATGATATGTGATGTGGTAGATAGTTTGTTTTATCCTTTTAATTAACAGACATTGTTGCTAAGTACCGTGACAAAATAGAAAAAATGGAGACTGATATTGAGAAGATTATAAAGTTAGAAGAAGAGGAAAAAGAATTGAGGATTTCTGAATTACAAGTGAATAAAGCAAAAGCCATCATAGAGCATCATGATGAAATCTACAGTCGGCCAAAAAGAAGCTGGTTTCAATCACATATGGAGAGAATGGCAGAAAAAGGTAACACATCATATCTGGTGAGAGTAAAGCCATATCCTGACTGTTTGTGTTAGCACTTATGATTGGTTATGATGTGTTGATAATATGCCAATCACATCCTGGTATGAGCCTAATCTTAGAACATATGAATAAAATTGTAATGCAGGGCCTGAATAATATGCAAGTTCGATGCTTGACACTAAACAGTGTTTTATTATGTTTATTTGCAAATTTTACTTCTGTATGGTTGACCCTATTGCATGTTTATTCTGCCATTTGATTGAATAGAGGGATCGTTATTATGTTGATCATACATGAATATTCATTTTAAAATTAGTGGTTTTTTGAAATGAATTTACTAATACAAGGTCAGAGTTATTACAAACACATACTGGAAATCTAAAAAATGGTAACAGCATGTACTATCAATCAATTTCTGATACCCTTCTCCTTAAACTGTATGGTATACTTTGAATGAAATAAACAATGGACAAACACTGATACAAATTAGTTTGGACAAGTCCACAAAACAAATGTCACTATAGTTTCAGGACTACTGGTATTCTGGACTACTTTTAAAATATTTGTCATTCCCAGTGAGAAAAACAAAAGACTGATTTTTTAATGTAAACAACATAAACAAACTTTCAGGTGATCCATAGTTTTATGGTAGAATTCATAGGATTTGTAGCTATCCACTTGAAAAATTCTCCCTAAGAAATTATGTTTACAGCCATTGTGAAAAAAGTGACAAAATGTGCAAAATTTTGCATAAACTAATGTGACCCTGATTGTGTTCTCTACAATTCACGAGATAGTGTACCTATTTTGTAATATGATGCACATAACAAGAAAAAATGTTTAAATAGAGTATTTTGAGGTAACTCTCGCCGAACTGTGACTGTTTTATGTATACAAGTTCTGAGAACAGCCATTGTTCTCATGATATATATTTATAATCTGTTTAATAGAAGTCGCACACTTTTTTGGGGGACAATTAAGAACCAAAAATCCACTATTTCTCATACATGTACTATATAGCATATATATAGCAATATATCATTTTAAAAGAAGACACAGCTTCTGATACAGATTTTACAGTAGTACCTCTTCAACATATGCACTTGTTGACAATGTTGTATTTTTTTTTTCAGAAAAACTAACACTTGGCAAGACCAATGTCAAACCCAGCAACAAGAGCAAGAAACAACATAAAAAACCTGAAACAGTAAATATTCTATTATGTCTGTCTATGATCTAGGCTATTCTGGTAGCCATGACAACCATTATTTATCAGCTGTCATTAAGTGGACCAGATTTCATGTTGTGATTTGATTGATTCTTAGTCATTCATGTAACATTTGTTAATTTCAGTTTGGGTTGCATGACTTATGATTATAGACATGAACCAACTGGTACTAGTATTTCAATCATTGTTGCAAAATATATGGCATGTTTTCCAAAAGATGTACTGCATTCTGCCTTTTCTTACAAAAATATTGTTGAATGTTGATAAAATTTCAAAAAGAAAGTGACTGAAAATGATAATATAGTATACATGTAGTAGTGTAGTGTGTAGTTCAGTGCCATTTTGTTCTTACTTGACCTGCAAATCATTTTTTTCAGCCGGAAGAGCGAGTTCAATTTGAAGTGATGAAGGCACAAGAATATGCTATCAGAGAAGCTAAAAGAGCTGGTAAAGCCAAAAGAATGACAGTGTTTGATGATAATATGCCAGATACAACAGCTAAAGGTATATTAGGCATTAATTAAATTCATTGTTCACAACTCAGTAATCTGGTTCACGTAAACACTTGAGGATTGAAAGTCTTCTCTGTCATGGCAGCCATCTTGTTTATATCATTGTCAGACAGGTGAATTCAGGCTTTGTCAGTTGTTTGAATTATGTAATAATATTTTATTACAGATGTCGTATAGGTTTTCAGTAAAATTACACTTACCTGTGATTATTTTTATAGAAGAATTGTTCAATTCATTTCTCTGACATGCACATTTTATTTCCAGTATCAAAGAAGAAAGTGAAATCAGTGCACACTTCATTTGAAAAAGAACTCACTAATACAAGTAGACGAGCAGTCAAAGGTTTCAGACACAGGTTAGTGCAAACAATCACATAGAATAGTCAGAATAGTAAACAAAGCTCAATAGCCAATTTGTCAGTTAGGTAATCTTCTTCACGAACATTGGTTTGGTATATTCACCATATTTACTTATATCTAAGCTTGCAGAGAGATGTTGAATTTTTAGAGTTATGAACATAGTTACAAAAACATTGAGTTACAAAAAGACCACGCCCATATTTTATAAAGCACACCTACTTTTGCGAAACCACATCCAAATTGTACCTTGATGTTCGATTAACAGTTATCAGAACCTAGAGTTACAGGCAACATATATTTGTTTTTTTAACGTTCAAATATGGTAAATCTAATTTTACGGTAATTAACAGTTCAAGTTATGTTGAGTTACGGGAAACATACAAGTTTAAACAAAATTACAAATCTATATTGCCCGTTTATTCATGAAAATAATTAACTCACATCAGTACTTGTACTGTATATTTGAGGTTTGTCTTAAAATAAACATGGTCAGATATTCCTTTGAACTTTTTGGCTTTGATATGCAAATTAGATACGTAACTATATGCAAAAGACTTGCTCTCTTTGGGATTTAATTTGTGAAGAACATTGATGTTTTATATGTAGGCCTGTGGAGTTCTGTATAATTTAAAATTGTCAAGTAACATGGATTCTTGAATTTTAAAAAATATTTCAGTCATTTTGGGTAAAACAATGCTATGTTTGACTGCTCCAAACTATCAGCACATTTGTTTTGATACATAATATGTACATGTAGGTACCTTTGGTGGACCTCTATCTGTTCATATCTTCAATCCAGCTTCTTTTATGTTGGGAATAAGACATCAGAGTATTTATTGCTAACAACATAGCTGAATGTATTAGCCGATAGGCTGTTTGTTTGCACAAAGCATTAAAGTATGGAAAAAACAGGGTAACCCGGTGATAGCCAGAAAATGAAAAGTTCCTGTCTAAAATATATTTATGAAATGCGAGATAGTAGTTCAGAGTCTGTAGTCTCTACTCTATTTGTAATTTGTAAACAAATTTCAATCAAAAGTAGACATGTTAGAAATATGTGGCGTGGCTGGCAAAAAATCGAAGATATTTCCCCTGTTCAAAATTCACTGTATCAATCATTACCGCTTTTCATGAAGTTTATATTAAAGTTTTGTTTGTATTTCTCCAAATTAACAGACCATCTTCATATGAAGAAAGAAAAAAGAAGAGTAAAGGAGGAAAATTCAAGTCAAAGAAGAAATTCAAAAGAAGATAATTATATGATGAATTGTCTTTATTGTGAATATTTCTCAATTATATGGTAAAATAAAGTTGATATAATTTTATTCAGAAGACTGTTAAAAACAAAACAAATAAATGAGAAATGACATTGCCCATGCCACTCATACAGATTCTTTTTTTTAGCTCTGCTATCATGTTTGTCGAGTGGAGCTAATCATATTACTTAATATGTTTTTATGAATGATTTTAAAACATATTTCGTCAAAAATGGCACAAATCATTCTTTTAATGCGTTTCATTTGTACTGCTCCTCAAACTGCGTTGTTTAACACTAAACCAACCCTGACACAGTATGACAGTAGACCTGTCATATCGGTAAACCTGATATTATTCCACTATAATATTCTGGGACAGGATAGAACATGCATCAATGCTACTTCACACATTGCGCTATGCATATGTTATGCATATGTTCCTAATCAGCTCTTCATTCAGGGGATACCTACCTGCAATGGTTTCAAGCAAAGCAGTTCTTCACAGCTTAACCTGAATGATAGCGACGCCCTGAAAAGGGGGGGGGGGTGTCATGATGCAGATAACATAAACAGCAGAAGTCGCTGATTTTTTCAACATTTATTATAATTCGGTCTCCATCAGTGCGTCCGTGCGGAGTCATATCTCAGAATCCCTTGGACCGATTACTTTCATTCTTTGCATGTGCCTAGTACTTTATGTGGGACATATGCACATGCAGTGGTTTAGCGATTTGATTCAAAATGGCCAACTGACAGTCGTCTTGTTTTTTGAAAATGTTGTATTTTGGACATGCTTTGTCAGTTGTCATTCAAACTTGGTACATAGAATATACATGTTAGGATACATGTCCATGACGATTTATTTCACAATTGGATCAAAGATGGCCGACTGGCAGCCATCTTGTTTTTTGAAAATGTGTTATTTTGGACATGCTTTGTCAGTTTTCATTCAAATTTAGTACATAGATCATACATGTTAGGATACATGTCCCTGACCGTCCGCGAGTTCCTGTCTCTGTCCGTCCGTCCCTGCGTCAATCTGCCCAGAGTCATATTTCAGAATCCTGTGAACCGATTCCGTTCATTCTTTGCATGTGCCTAGTACCTTATGTGGGACATATGCACATGCAGTGGCTTAGCGATTCGATTCAATATGGCCGACTGGCAGCCATCTTGTTTTTTGAAAATGTTGTATTTTGGACATGCTTTGTCTATTGTCATTCAAACTTGGTACATAGAATATACATGTTAGGATACATGTCCATGACGATTTATTTCGCAATTGGATCAAAGATGGTAAACTGGCAGGCATCTTGTTCTTTTTTTTATGTGGTATCTTGGACGTGCTCTGTCAGTTTTCATTCAAATTTGACACATACATGTACTTTATACATGTTAGGATGCATGTCCATGACAATTTGTTTCAAAATCTGGTCAAAGATGGCCGATTGACAGCCATCTGACTTTTTGGTTTTACTTCTATATTTCCACAATTTATGTACCATTCGTATTTGGCACATACATCATACATATCAGTGTATTTCATAATCAGATCAAAGATGGCCAAATAACGGCTGTTTTTATTTTTGGCCATATTACTACTACACGAAACACGTGTTTTGATGTAAACAATCTGTTGTATACGTCACTTGGAACTCAAGTTTCAAGGACACGCTCGTGACAACCCCTTCGCTTTAATATGACGAGCACAACGAGAACTTTCAAAAATTTAACGGGATTGTGTCATTTTCAATGACTTGTTTCTATGTGTAAATGGGCTCAAAATCAAAGATGGCACATTCTTAGCACAGATACTCAAAGGACTTTCACTGAGCTATATTTGCAGGCATCTGTAGTAGTGTGATCAGTTAGAGGTTCTCCTACATCTTTCAGCACATTGTGTTCCTTTGCTAGATTTTGCTTGATTTTTGCAAATGTGTCTTAAAAGACAAGTGTGAGCAAACCCACTGGACTACTCTTTCACTGTAAAGACTAGTACATGTCTGAAGATTGTCTCTGAGAAGAATGATACTACTCCATCATGGGAAAACATGTCTTGGTTTGCCAGCTACTGGTGGAGTAAAAAAAAAATGCTAAGTTAGTGTTGAAGACTAACAGCTTATAAAATGACATGACAACAAATACATAGTTAGCAGGTTTTTATTTAGGCGACAGTGTTGGTTATTTATTTGAACAAGTTTAGACTTGGCAACATCTCGTCTTAGAGGCAATCATGGATAGCCATCTGCCCGAAGATAATACATGTTGTATATCACAAATTGAACTGGGGAAGCATGATCCTTATCCAAAAACAACTGTTTCACTCCTATTAGCTCCTTGCTGTAACTGTGCCACTTCTATTCGCACTTCACAAGTCTTCTAACATCACCGCTACTCTTAATCCAGGTGACCATACCATAATGATGGACATAGGTGTTCATAGTTCTGGTGATCTCTGGATCGTGACACCCTAAGTACACGACTACCACTGCCATAAAGCAGCTCATCAGTGGCGGTTTTGAGGTGGAAACACATAGCACCATTGTTCAATGCTTACCGCACAGCACTGAACTGGCATTCATATTGTTGAATTTGACTATGGGAACCTGGTATGCAATGTTGATACCTAACTCGTGTTCGTCTGTATATGATAGCCATGCCATGCTCCCTGGGAGTTTAGATGGTATTCAATGGTATGTGTACTATCACATCTGCTTCTGTTGAGTATGTATCTATCTATCTACTGTGGAATACTTTATTTTCGCTGGATTTAATTTTCGCTGAAAAGGCTTTTTGGGCGTTTTGTATGGAATTTATTTTCACTGATTTTTGATGAGTTTTATGTGAAATATAGGGAAAAAAAGTATATTCGCTGGATTTTATTTTCACGGAATCATCCCTTCAGCGAAAATAGCGAAAATTAATTCCAAGCGAAAATAAAGTATTCTACAGTATCTGCACGTTCATTTGGACTAGTCAATGTTGCATCATTGAACTCTCAAACATTGTCCACATGCACCCTGTATTTATTAGGAACTTTCTCATGATTTATCCATTCCTTAACAATCGATGTTAACAGAATAACAACTGATAACAACCAAGTATCTGTTTGTGTGTCGTTCAGTTATCTCGTATACTGCTTATTTTGTATTTCTTTGTATTAATTGTATTGACAGTGAGAATTTACATCACTGGAAATGCATCTGTTTTGGCATAGCTTTTATTAGTCCCCGTTCGGACGCAGTCCGAAAACGGGGACTTATGTTTTGCCCTGTGTGCGTCCGTGCGTCCGTGATCACCTGTATCTCGAACATGCATGGACCGATTAAGTTCAAACTTCACTCATACATCACACATTATATGGGACATATGCACATGCATTTTTTTCATGATCCGATTAACGATAGCCGAATAGCGGCCATTTTAAGGCCGAAAATGCATCAAAATCGCACATTTTCACCATTCCGGACCCGGATCTCAGTTATGCATGGACGGATTTTGTTCAATTTGGTACATACATT